CAGCACTTGAAGGTTATCAGGAGCTGGAACTGGGGTGGAAAACTAAAGGCCTCGGGGGATTCGAACTCCTGAGCCTCTCAACCGCAAGCCCTCCCTCCCCATCAAAACCCTAACACAATAAACCCTACACCCTAACACCTAACACCCTAATAACACCCTACACCCTACACCCTAAACCCGTAAACCCGCAAACCCGCAAACCCGTAAACCCGCAAACCCGTAAACCCGTAAACCCGTAAACCCGTAAACCCGTAAACCCGTAAACCCGTAAACCCGTAAACCCGTAACCCGTAAACCCGTAAACCCCTCAACCCTAAACCCTAAATCCCTAAACCATTAATCAACCCTAAACCCTATAAACCCTAAACCCTAAACCCGAAACCCGAAACCGAAACCCGAAACCCAAAACCCAAAACCCCTGCACTTCGCCAAGATGCACTGAACTCAAGGCTGCTCATGATGCTGCCCGCGGCGTGCGTGCAGGTGTTGCCGGCCTTGGCTTGCCCCAAGGAGGGGTAATTAGGGTTTAGGGTATGTAGGGTTTAGGGTTCAGGGTTCAGGGTTTAGGGTTTAGGCTTTAGGGTTTTCCCCAAAACCCAAAACCCAAAACTTGGGAGGTCCCCCCTTCTACGAACAGTCCTTAACGGGGACTATGATAGGGAATTCCAGTATCCCCGTGAAGGACTGTTAGTATAAGGGGGAACATCCCAACACAAAAACCCTCAACCCTAAACCAGTTATATGAGGACCCCTCCCCCCCCCCTCCCCCCCGGTGGGTTTGTAGGGCCCAACGTAAGTTACTGTGCCACCATACACTCTGTTTAAGGGTCCGAGTATCATCGAGTATCGACTTCATGGGTACGTTTGGGATCCTTACTGTTTGCACGGTTTCTGCTTTGGTTCGGGGTTGGCAGGGTTGAGGGTTGGCAGGGTTACGGGATTAAGATTCACAGGGTTTGATTACGGGCTTATGACTTACAGGGTGTAGGGTTCAAGGTTTACAGGGTCTAGGGGTTGATGCTTTGCAGGGTTTAGGGTTCGTACAGGGTTTGGGGTTCCGCCACCCTGGATGCTCACAAGGGTGTTAGCTTCAAGTGGAGGTACAGTTCATGGGCACATTGAAAAATACGGGAGAATGGAAGCACCAGCAATCCGAATCTTCAAACATCCTTGTGGGGGTGATCTTGGAGACAAGGTGCTGCAGGGATCCAACAGTGGACCGTACAGTAGCGACTTGACAAGGTGACTAAGACAAAACTCTGAACCCACCTACGTACCCTAAAGCCTAAGCACCGCACCCTAAGTCCTAAGCGCAACTGAAACCTCGGCCAAGGTCAAGCTTGGCAGCATTTCGCATGACGAAGATGTCTCCTGGCTTGTTGTCGAACACGGTGTCCACGGGCACCTTGCAGTACGGACTGGGGCCCCTAAAACTCCATAAAGCCTCGAAGCTGTAGACCCTATAAATCCTAAACCCTTTAGGGTTTAAAGGGCTCAGGCTGTTAACGGTTCGGATTGTTTGCCTTCAGAGTTCTGCTGAGCATCTTTTCTTGTTGGGTTTGGGTTCCGAAAATAACCTTGGAACCTTGGCAAAATGATGTCAATAGAAATGAGCAATCTATGTTCGAGATCGTCTCAGGTTAAGGGTCTCGGGGGGAAGGGGCGGGGGGGGGGGTCCAGTGTTTCGAGAGCTGCGCGTCACAAGAGCTGCGGGCCCGCGGCTTGGGTGGGTTGGGATGGGGTTTGCCAGGGGCGTCCAGGGAATAGGGCTGAGGGTGCCCTAAGCCCTAAGCCCTAAGCCCTAAGCCCTAAGCCCTAAGCCCCAAGCCCTAAGCCCTAAGCCCTAAGCCCTAAGCCCTAAACCCTAAACCCTAAACCCTAAACCCTAAACCCTAAATGGAATGGTATCTGACGCAATTTATGTACCAGGCTGAAGCATGGCCCAGTGACTGTTACGAGCTTTCTCGTGGGCACTTATTGAAACAAGTTGCCTGATAAGGCAACTACATTATTCGCTATGTAACCCTATTTGTGGTAACTTAGTTTCAAGTTCCCAAGCCCCGGATAAAAGGGCAAATCTCAGGATGTTGGGTGCTCATCTAAACCTTAACACGTAAACCCTCCCCAGACCACCTTAAGCCCCAGATCCCAAACCACCTTAAGCCCCAGATCCCAAGCCCCAAACCCCAAACCCCACACCCTAAACCCTACACTTCAAACCCTAAACCCCAAACCCCAAACCCCAATCAAACCCTAAACCCTAAATCCTATATAAATCCTAAACCCTAAACCCTCTTAGTGAGCTTCTACGAGGCGCCCGGACGTCCGCGCAAGCGAGGACAGAACAGAAAGGGTTGGCAATGGCGGTGCGCCCAGGAACGGCCTCCCAGGGTTTCCGGGCTTTCCTGGAGTTTAGGGTTTATGTAGGGTTTAGGGTTTAGGGTTTAGGGTTTAGGGTTTAGGGTTTAGGGTTTAGGGTTTAGGGTTTAGGGTTTAGGGTTTAGGGTTTGGGGTTTGGCGTGTGGGGTTTGGGGTTTGGGGTTTAGGGTTTAGAGCTTGCCCAAAGGCTCCAATGTAGTTCCTTTTTGGGTTAGTTATAGAAGATTCTAGTAAACTACCTGACAAAGGTACTACATAGGAGCCTTCGGGTAGGTCTAAGTAAAAGTTAGACATTCGGGTTTTTCGTGCTAGCCTGCCACGAGAGTGCCGTTTCGTCTCGATCTTCGCCAGCCCTGAACCCTAAACCCCAAACCCCAAACCCCAAATCCTAAATCCTAAACCCTAAACCCTAAACCCTAAACCCTGAACCCTGAAAACAAGTACAGGAACGTGGGTAAGATGTGCGATCTCCCACTGTGCAGCGGCCTTCAAGTCGATCTTATTGATAAAAAGGGTTTGGGTACTAGGGTCTAGGGTCTAGGGTCTAGGGTTTGGCGTTTAGGGTTTAGGGTCTAGGGTCTAGGGTCTAGGGTTTAGGGTTCAGGCAACTTAACTCTAGGTAAAAGGGCATATCGTGTTCTCTAGTTTCCCCCGCAAAGCAAACCCAGTGTACCCTCACAGCCCCTTCAAGGCCTAGAATCCCAAGCCCAAAAACCCCGAAAACCCCTCCGCAAACCCTAAACCCTAAACCCTAACCCCTCCCTATGCACCTGGGTGTTTTGAGTCGTTCCCGCCTGGGATGCAGTTGGGGCCCAGAACATTCCACCCAACCACCTGATACGATAAATCTGAGCAGGCTCACAACAGGCTGCACAAAGCATTTAGGGTTAAGGGCTAAGTGCCCTAAACCCTAAACCCTAAACCCTAAACCCGAAACCCTAAACCCTAAACCCTAAACCCTAATAAGGGTGTAGGGTCAAAGCTGAAAGCCTTCCCCACACTTGTCATCACAACCCCCCTCCCCCCCCCCCCCGCCCAGGTAGGGTCCCTACTAAACACGTGAACCCTACACCCTTATTAGGGTTTAGGGTTTAGGGTTTAGGGTAAAGCCTCCAACCCCCAGCCCCGAACCTCAAATTACAAGTCCGGCAAGTTATAAGCCTAAGCCGCAGACCCTGAGCCCTAAAATCTAGGAGCCCCGAAACCGTTTAGGGTTTAGGGTTTAGAGGGTTTAGGGTGTTTAGGGAGTTTAGGGTGTTTAGGGAGTTTAGGGTGTTTAGGGTGTTTAGGGCGTTTAGGGTGTTTAGGGTGTTTAGGGTTTAGGGGTACTCTCAACAAGCCCAACAAAGCGAAACACAAAACCATCAACCCCGAAACCCGATTTTTTCAGGTTTGAATGCCTGTCTGCAACATGTCCACAAATTCTGCCGTAAACCCCTACTTGGAGGTTCATGGTACTTATAACCCAATAATATCTGCACTTATAACCCGATTACAACCATATTGGAGCACTTAGAGGGCGAAGAAGTGCTGTATACGTACAGCTTCGGGTTTAGGGTTTAGGGTTTAGGGTTTAGGGTTTAGGGTTTAGGGTTTTAGGGTTTTAGGGTTTAGGGTTTAGGGTTTAAACCCTAAACCCTAAACCCTGCGCCATAAGTACCATGAACCTCGAAGCCTTAAACAACACTAGCCTGGGCCCGCTATATGCTTACAGAAAGAATGCTAAATCTGATTCTAAACCCTAAACCCTAAACCCTAAACCCTAAACCCTAAACCCTAAACCCTCTTGAAAGAGCCCAAAACGCCGGCCTGCAAAACTCGGAAAACTATAAACCTCACGCCAAACATGAGGTAACCCTTAACCCCCTGAAGCCCTACCCAAAGGCTCCAATGTAGTTCCTTTTTGGGTTAGTTCTAGGGGATTCTAGTATACTACCCCAAAAAAGGTACTACATAGGAGCCTTTGGGTAAACCCTAAGCCTAAACCCGAAGACCCTGATCCCTTATGTAAACCACTAGAACCCTCAGCCTAAAATCCAACAAAATGAAAGTCCCGAAACCCTAAACCCTCAAACCCTAAACCGTAAACCCCGAAACCCTCAACTCTAAACCCTAAACCCTGAACCCTAAACCCTAAACCCTAAACCCTAAACCCTAAACCCTAAACCCTAAATGCTGTCCTCTGCACTGTGGTCCCTTTGCTGTAATCATGCGGAGTCTGGTATTTAAGGCATCCTGTTTTGGGCACCATCGTTAGGAGGTCTGACCCAGAGACTGCATTATCCCTTGAGTAAGGAAATTTCGAATATTCATGGACATGCAACCGGGATCTTCCCACGATTCAAGGAACTGCGTAGGAGGTCATGAATATAATCTTGGCTGAATTCTGAATCCCTCCAGAAAGATTAATTTTCAGGATACTTGTTGTAGATTCTACAAAACCCAGAAGGTTAAAGTCCTAAGAGCCATCCAGAAGCAAGATAGTAGGTCTAGGGTTGAGGGTTCAGGGTTTAGGGTTGCAGTTCATGAGTATTCTCTAACCCTAAACCTAAACCCTAAACCCTAAACCCTGTTAGGGACGTCAAAATCTTTGGGTACCTTGCATCTCCAGTCCCAGCTGCAACGTAGCGCTGGTTGCCACACCGCAAGGACTCCAGGGCATCCTGGAAACTAAGCCACAGGGTTTAGGGTTTAGGGTTTAGCGTTTAGGGTTTAGGGTTTAGGGTGGACCTGGAAAAAGGCCACTGTGCGGGTTTTGCGCGCTTTTGGGGGGGGATTCCGAGTGTCAGGGTTTAAGGCTAAACCCTAAACCCTAGACCCTAGACCCTAAACCCTACAGGTTTTAAGGCCTTGGTGCCAAGGGCTTTAGAGTTTAAGGCTCCAATGTAATTGGGGTTACTTATGGGGGATTCTAGTATACTAACACAAAAAGGTACTACATAGTAAGGCTCTGGCTTCAGAGTTTGGGGTTTCAAGGATCCAGGGCCTGGGGTATAAAGTTCCCATGGGCCGAAATGTTTCGGCTTCATGACGGAAGCTCAGCTGCAGGGCTGGCCCTGTAAAACCCTGACCCCTGAAACCTACATAACTTGAGGCGTACAGCGATCAAACCACATACAGCGCTATACATATACATATACATATAGAAATATATATATCTTATTTATTATCCCTTCTATATGTATATATAGTGTATATACATATATACGTTTATAATATGTACATGCTATGCCGGCAACTCTTAGATGCACCCGCGTTGCGCTGGTATTCCCACATCCCAGCATACCCAAAGGCTCCTATGTAGTACCTTTTTTGGGGTTTGGGGTTTGGGGTTTAGGGTTTAGAGTTTAGGGTTTAGGGGTAGTAGACTAGAATCCCCTAGAACTAACCCAAAAAGGAACTACATTGGGAGCCTTTGGGTACACACTCATCAATATTTACAAGGAGCAAGCCTCGCAAACCGCAAGACCCTGATCCAAGGTCTCGAGGTCTAAGCGTCGGGGGGTCTGGGAGCTCAACGCGTGGGTCGGATGCTTGAGTGGAGTCCGCGGTTTCAGGAGTTTGTAGAGTCTAGAAGGTTTTCTCTAGGGGCCCACAGGCCTTGATAGGGCTAGGGTCAAGTATCATCGTGGATTCTTGCAGGTCTACTGCAACCTGTCAACAGGTAGTGGCTACTTGGAGAGTTTAAACTTTCTTGCTGAGGCAGCTTCTGAAAAAAACATCGGGTTTAGGGTTTAGGGGCTCGAGTTTAGGGTTTGGGGACCTGAACATGGCAGAACCTCTCGCAAGCCCTAAACCCTAAACCCTAAACCCTAAACCCTAAACCCTAAACCCTAAACCCTAAACCCTAAACCCTAAACCCTAAACCCTAAACCCTAAACCCTAAATAAGGGGCCCTTGACTTTCGGAAGTCCGCATGGAGCCTCTTGAGGCCCTCCTTGATCAGGTCCAGCAGGCTGAGGCGGTCTCCCAAAACCCGAAGACCATGACACCCCAGACTCCCCAAAACCCCCCCCCCCCCCCCAACAAACCCAAAACCCTAAAACCCTAAAAAAAACAAAAAAAACCTCAAAACCCCAAAAAACCCTTTAAAACCCTAAACACCCTAAAAAGCCATCAACAAAACCTAAAAAAAACCTGAAAAACCCTAACAAACCCTGCAACCCTAAACCCGAAAAATCCTAAAACCCCCAAAACCCTGAAACCCTAAATGGGGGTTTACGAAATGAGGGGTGCCTTACTGGGGTCCTCTTCTCGTAAACCCGCAAGTCCTAACCCTAAACCCTAAACCCTAAACCCTAAACCCTAAACCCTAAACCCTAAACCCTAAACCCTAAACCCTACATGGAACGCTGTCTCTATTCGTCCTCTGGTGCAGGCGCCGAGCTGTCTTGGACTTGGGGCGCGCAAACGGCCTTGCGTGGAGATCACAGGATGCACCCGGTTCTGTCAAACGTTAGGGTTTACGGGTTGGGACGCTCCCTCTTCTACTATAACAGCCCGTGACAGGGGTTGTACTGGGGGTATATATGCTCCCTATAAAGGACTGCGAGTATACGGGGAACATCCCCAAGTTATAGGGTTTGGTGTTCGTCTCTCTATGGCTCAACTTCGGGCATGCTCATGTCTGGGGAGGCGGTTGGTGCAAGATGGTTGAGGTAACGAGCGAACCGTAGGGAGCCTTAAGAGGGTTATAGAGCTCGTAAAGGAGGGGGGGGGGTGTTCAAGGGAGGTAGCCTAAGGTTCCCGAATTCCCTAAGGCTCCCTAAGCTTCCCTAAGGTTCCCTAGGTACCCACCCCCCCCCATAACCATAGTAGGGAGTACTATATAATAGGCGGGATTGGGGTGTTGTAGGGGCTCGCGGCTACTGGCTACTCTGCTCCCTGGACACCCTCCCTTACACTCCAAACTGCCTAAGTCCTACGCCCACACACTCATCCAGAGACAGCCTTATCTATAAAGTCCCATGATGACGACAGGCAAGCGCAAAAGTGAGTAATTTGCGGCTGTTTGCCAGAAGGAGTCTCTACAATCAAGTAAAGACTTTAACCATAACAAGAATGAAGCGTGCCGACTTTCCTGCTGGCTAGGTTTGTACAGAACCCACCCAAAGGCTCCAATGTAGTTCCTTTTTGGGTTAGTTATAGGGCATTCTAATATACTCCCCCCCAAAAGGTACTACATAGGAGCCTTTGGGCAGAAACCAGGAACAATGAACAAGGGTATCACTGGGATTCCTAGAGTAGCCAGCTGCCTCGCGCAATGGTCAAAGCCTTCACAAGGGGAACAAAAAGACAAACTAGTTCCGAGAGTCCTACATTTATGGAGGCTTACGAAACTTGGGGACCCCCCAACTTAGATCCCCAAATAGTGGGATTCGCTTATGCTAAGGACCCCCCAATAAGGTACCCCCCTAACTTAGGAAACCTGGTAGGCCAACCCCCCCCCCCCCCCACGGCGGTGCCTCGCCCTGCGGCAGTGGCCAGGGCGGTACTGGCCTCAACGCTTAGGGTTTAGGGCTTAGGGCTTAGGGTTTAGGGTTTAGGGTTTAGGGGTTGGGGTCTAGGGCTTGGGGCTTGGGGCTTGGGACTTGGGGTTTGGGGTTTGGGGTTTGGTTAAAGGCTTGGGGGGCGGAAGGGTGCAAGTTGACCTTTCAATGAAGGAAGAACACGACCCGAAAAGGTTTCAAATAGGTACCGAGAAGCGAGGCAATTGGCCTTCAGGTCAGGGCTCGAAGGTTTTAAGGGCTGACAAATAACAATGGCAGGGGGGCTGTAAACCCTCAATGCCCTCAACCATACGTAAACGTAAACGCCAAAGGCTCCTGGGGCAGTATACTAGAATCCCCTATAACTAACCCAACAAGGAACTTCATTGGAGCTTTTGGGTAAGCTCTAAACCCTAAACCCTAAACCCTAAACCCTAAACCCTAAACCCTAAACCCTAAACCCTAAACCCTTTGCGCATTTCGCTTGAGAGAGCGGGGCGGATCAGACGCTTGCGGGTTATCGTCACATGTGCCCTTCCAGGGCTGCTTGAAGGGCTTAGGTTTTAGGGTTTAGGGTTTAGGGTATAGGGTTTAGGGTATAGGGTTTAGGGTTTAGGGTTTAGGGTTTAGGGTTTAGGGTTTGGGGTTTGGGGTTTAGGGTTTAGGGTTTGGGGTTTAGGGTTTAGGGCATGAGGGATTTCGGGCTTACGCTTTGCTCAAGTTGGCTCCTGGGGCTCATGGTTTAGGGTTGAGGCTTTAGGGTTTAGGGTTTAGGGTTTAGGGTTTAGGGTTGAAAAACGGAAGCTGACAGTGAGGTGCAGGGAACCCTGACTTTTGGTGTTCAGATGTTCGGGGCTTCAGCCGCGAGTTGCACCCGCTAAGGCCTCGCACTCAGAACTTCAGCAGCCCCCACCAGCCCCATCCGCGCCCTAAACCCTAAACCCTAAACTAGGGTTTAGGGTTTAGGGTTTAGGGTTTAGGGTTTAGGGTTTAGGGTTTAGGGTTTAGGGTTTAGGGTTTAGGGTTTAGGGTTTAGGGTTTAGGGTTTAGGGTTTAGGGTTTAGGGTTTAGGGCATCGGGTTTAGGGAACCGTATAAACCCCAAACACCGCAACACCCCCAGAATCCATGAGGTTGGCACACGTTGCAGTCACAGAGTTCCCCCTGCATCGGTGAGGGCCCCAGGAACTCCACCTTCGACTTGGCTTTGTGGGGGTTTAGGGTTTAGGGTTTAGGGTTTAGGGTTTGGGTTTAGGGTTTAGGGTTTAGGGTTTAGGGTTTAGGGTTTAGGGTTTAGGGTTTAGGGTTTAGGGTTTAGGGTTTAGGGTTTAGGGTTCAGTGTTTAGGGTTCAGTGTTTAGGGTTTGGGGTCCAGGGCTTTCGGGGGGTTTAGGGGGTCTTAAGGTTTGCGGGCTGCAGGGCTCCAGGGGGTTTAGGGGTAATAGGTTTTGGGGTTTCCGGGTTTTAAGATTGTGGGGGGTTTAGCGCTTAGGGTTTTAGTTTTAGTGCTCTGTGAGGTTTAGAGTACCCTAAACCCTAAACCCTAAACCCTAAATCCTGAACCCTAAACCCTAAACCCTAAACCCTAAGTTTTAGGGCTGCCCTGAACAAAACCTAAACACCAGAGGGCTTCTCTTCAGCTTCTCTTTCCAGCGTCCTTCGAGCTTTCGGGGGTTTAGGGCTCAGGGATTACGGATTGAGGCTCTGGAATAGGTGCGATTGAATTAGTCCTCCCAGGAGCATCTTCGAAACGAAGTCCACACGGCTGGTCTCGTTCTTGGAAGACAGGATGAAGCTTGACCCTAAACATTAAACCCTAAACCCTAAACCCTGAACCCTAAACCCTAAACCCTAAACCCTAAGCTTCTCCACGCTGGCACCGTTGAGGGCTTCATTCAAAGAGTCCGACGTCACAGCTGGAGCTGGAGGTTGCGATGTATGCCTTTCTTCTGGTTCAAGTCGGGCCTGTTGAGGTGGGCACTCTGACGTGCCATCATCTGCATCTCAAGCTGTCTGTTCTTGGTTCTGGGTGTTGGGCTTAGGGCTCTGGGTGCCCTGAACCCGAAACCCCAAACCCCAAACCCTAAACCCCAAACCCTAAACCCTAAACCCTAAACCCTAAACCCTAAACCCCAAACCCCAAACCCCAAGAGCTTGGGCAGGTTTAGATCCTCTTGGTTCCATGGTGCGCCCCCGCTTCGATGGCTTTAAGCGCTAAACCCTAAACCCTAAACCCTAAACCCTGAACCCTGAACCCTGAACCCTAAACCCTAAACCCTAAACCCTAAACCCTAAACCCTAAACCCTAAACCCTAAACGCTCTTGAGATCTTGCAGGAGCCCAAGGGGCGTTTGCGGCTTGTAGGGCTTTGGGTGTTAGGGTTTAGGGTTTAGGGGGTTTAGGGGGTCTAGGGGGTTTAGGGGGTTTAGGGGGGTTTAGGGGGTTTAGGGTCTGTAGTTTTCGGGGTTTAGGGTTTTTCAGGGCAGCATAGGATATACAAACCAGTACAGTAGCGTGGCGGCAGCCACTCCCAAGGAAACCCGAAGCACCTGCGGCTTCCGGGCGAACGTAGGACTGCTATGATGATAAGTGGCTGTGACATCCTTACTTGGGGTACTTCTCGCTCTCCTGAACCCTAGATCCGAAACCCTAAATCCTAAACCTAAACCCTAAACCCTTTCTCTCCCATGGACCTTCAAGAAGGTTAAAGGGTTAAAGGTGCACAAGCGGCCTTGCCGGACGCCTCGTCAAAGATGGCCGCCTTCATGGATGACTTGCAAAGGGCAACCCGAACCCGATAGCCCCAAACCCTAAACCCTAAACCCTAATCCCCACAGGTTTGGCCAAGTATGGTTGGCGAATGGCCCGATAAGGTTTGGGGGTTTGGGGGTTCAGGGCTTACTAATGGACAAGTCTCCTTTCCAAGATCCACAAGCCTCTAAAGGGAAGATTGAAACCCGCGCAGCCTAAAGCATGAACCGGAATCCCCTCATGCACCCAAGCATTCAACCCTAAACCCTAAACCCTAAACCCTAAACCCTAAACCCTAAACCCTAAACCTTAAGCCCTAAACCCTAAACCCTAAACCCTAAACCCTAAACCCTAAACCCTAAACCCTAAGCCTTGTTGAAAACTATGCCCCAAACCCAAACAGGCGACGAAGTGCCTGGAGCTCCACGGCCCCGCTGCGTACATTCCTGGAAAGCATGCAACCACTGCCACCCCTACGGTGGCTTAGGGTTTAGGGTTTAGGGTTTAGGGTTTAGGGAGGGTTTAGGGTGTAGGGGTTAGCCCGCTTAGCCGGCGAAGGGATCCAAACCCTAAACCCCAAAGCCTTTTTGGAGTTTACACCTGAAAGGTTGTTGCTGTCCAGGGCCACGAATAGTTGGAACTTACATCTGCTTGGCATGTGGCAGGACGGGTCTCTGGCTGCGAAACCTACATTAAAGGTTTTGCAAATAGGGGAAAAGGGCATGATTTACAAAACCCACTTATGGTATCATATCTTAAGGTGCCGACCAGAACTGTTTTGCATCTGCCAAAGCCTACCCTCCAAAGAGCTAGCCTTGCCAGCCCCCCATCATCTCGTATTGCTTCCTTTTCTCTACTTGGAGGTTCATGGTACTTATTAACCAATTATACCTGTACGTATAACTGTACTTATAGCCATATTAGGGCACTTAAGGGGCTTATAAGTGGGTTATAAGTACAGTTGTAATTGGTTCATAAGTACCATGAACCTCCAACTAGGTATTCCTGCTTTACCTTGACAGTACGCCTTCCCACCTGCCCCCCCCCGCTTCCCTCCCTCTTCTCCCCCCAACCCCCCACTCCCCTGCCTTCGGCTACCCACCCCTCCCTAACCTCCAAAGAGCTTCCAGGAAAATCAGCGATCCTGACTGGGCCGCGTAGCGTTAAACTGATGTATTGCTTCCCTCCGTCGTCCTCATGTGTCCGCCTCTGTAATCCAAGCCACACGAAAAAACGGCCAACTAGTTAAACGCAAGTGGTCTATGACTTGTGATTCGCTTTTGTGTGCTTGGCACCCAATGCGCCAGCACGCCCTAAAAATCAAAAACCCTAAGCCCTAAAACCCTAAACCCCAAACCTTTCCCCTTAACCCTACACCCCTAAGCCCGAAAACCCTAAGCCCTAAAACCCTAAGCCCTAAAACCCTAAGCCCTAAAACCCTAAGCCCTAAAAC